TATATACTAATAGTGTCTATTGTTTGTTGGAGTAAGTAATGACAGTAATGGATATAATAATAATACTTTATATTTAGCTATACCTGTTGTTCCAGTTATGATCTTATTGGCAGTTGATAATGGCTACTACATTACAATTACAAAAAATTCAGAATTGTGAGTGCTTAATTTATTATGACAGTTAATTATTCCCAATATAGTTGTTTCATTGGTAAAATGGTACCATTGTTAGCAGCATTCTTATTACCCATTTTCCTCATCATCATCATTAATACAATTGTGTTCATACTTGTCATTCGAACTACTCTTGAAAATACCATGAATAGAAAAAAGCGGATGAGTAATTCCTCTCTCTCTGTATCAGAAGTACTAAAGATGTTACTGTCTTTTACTGGTATTATGATCCTCTTTGGTTTAACTTGGGTATCTGCTGCCTTCACTTTCATATCTGAGCCTAGTGTATCTCATACAGTCCAGTTTATATTTGCATTTTGTAATGCATTTCAAGGATTTTTTATTTTTGTATTTTTTATTTTGCTAAACAAGGAATATATGGAAATCCTGGAAGGCATATTTTGTTCAGTACTTCCCTAGGGCTACTATTCACAGTGACTTCAAGTCTGGACACAGTACTAAGAGCAAGTCAAGAAATGAAAATAGTTATGCTATTTCAAATCATGTATCTCTTAATGATACGAACAAAGAGGAGATGAAAGATACTTCACTGTAAACCAAAAAATTTTTATAATTAATAGTAGCTAGTTACAATAGACAGTTGAGTTTAGTGTGTGCTTTTTTATTTGCCTTAGTAGCTGACAGTTCATTATTATTAATTATGATAGAGAGATGTTTAGTATGGATCTCAATCATCTCATCTTCTTTCATGAGCTCCTGGAGACATGTGTTGTCAATGTGCATGAAATTTGTGTAATTCTGGTTGTGCAAAATATAAGGTTGAGTTATTACAGCAATAATGATAATACCAGTATTGCTGATCAGTATTCTTTGTTCGTACATAATTAAAAGTAAAATCAGAAATGAAATGAAATTTTTAAAAACAATTAAGAATGTATGTGCTTAATAATCTTACTAATATTATGACAATTATTCCCAATATAGTTGCTTCATTGGCAAAATGGTACCATTATTAGCAGCGTTCTTATTACCCATTTTCCTCATCATCATCATTAATACAATTGTATTCATACTTGTCATTCGAACTACTCTTAAAAATGCCATTGATAGAAAAAAGCGGATGAGCAATTCCTCTCTCTCTGTATCAGAAGTACTAAAGATGTTACTGTCTTTTACTGGTATTATGATCCTCTTTGGTTTAACTTGGATATCTGCTACCTTCACTTTCATATCTGAGCCTAGTGTATCTCATACCGTCCAGTTTATATTTGCATTTTTCAATGCATTTCAAGGATTTTTTATTTTTATATTTTTTATTTTGCTCAATAAGGAATATAGGAAACTCTGGAAGGCTCATTTTGTTCAGTACTTCCCTAGGGCTACTATTCACAGTGACTACAAGTCTGGACCCAGTAACAAAAGCACAAAAAGTGAAGATAGTTATGTCATTTGAAATCATGCATCTCAAGATCTCAATGATATAAAGAAAGAAGAGATAAAAGATGCTTCACTATAAACTGAAACATTTTAATAGTCAGTAGCTTGATATAATAGACAGTTTAGTATTTGTTAATAAAACAATTTTCCTCATTAACTGACAATTCAATTGCATTACTGATGGGAGATGTGAGATATTGGATCTTATCATCTTACTGTCCAATAACTCATCAGTATTCATTAGCGAGTGAATGATCTCACTGGTGGGCGTGGTCTTACTCATGGAATGACTCCCACCTAATTCAATGTACACTGCATCCTATAAATGAGAATAATAAATAATAATAATAATAATAATAATAATAATAATAATAATAATAATAATAATAATAATAGACATGATGTTAATTACCTTGTCATAAACCACACCTCCTATGCCAGCCATTGGAGCATAAATGAGTCTCTCTCTCATCAAGTGATCTCTTCTTTTCTTTCTCAGGGAGAGGGTAGGGGTCAGGCAGGACTGAGAGGTCGGCCATTTTGAAATCACCACAACCTGGAGAGAGAGAGGAAGAGGAAGGGAGGGAAAGAGTGGGAGAGAGAGTGAGTGAGAAAGAGAGAGAGAGAGAGAGGGAGAGATTAGGGAAAATAGAGAAAGTAAGAGAAAAGAACAGAGAATATTATGATCATTCATGTACAATATTACTCCAATGAACATAAGCTGAGATCTTGGTACCAAATATCTCATACCTGGTATGTGAACATAGGAGCTGGATTTCATGCTAGTTCCACGCACATATCCATACAATGAGATGGTTCGGTTGCACAATGGATCCTCTTTAATTGAATCAGGAGATGTGAGATCCTCCATTCTATGAAATGAAGAAGGTAGAAAAGGAAAAAGAAAAGTGTATTCAGTATACATGTACATGTAACAATGACATTACGCATGTATAATTTTTATTCAATCATATAGTATATACACATGCAAGATGCGGCATTTTATAATAAATACCATAAATTAACCTTGCATATTCAACCTTATTTTTTATAGCTACCCATTCAACCAGCTGTTAGAGTTTTGTTTATTTACACAAAAACTACTCCTAAGAATTGGATGAGTGGTTTGTTATCGTAAATAAACAAAACCACAGGAGGAGCAACATCTGCCCATATTACTACACTCTACCCATATTATACATTGTAAATGTATGTGGTGTGGTCAGGGAAAACCCACCATAAGTCTATAGAGTTAAGGTTGGTCTTCCCCAGACCACACTGCATGTACATGTACATGTACAGTATAACCATTAACCGCACTACCTGTCAGCAATGAGGTAAGGATGCGATGACTGCCAGTCTAGTGGTTTGAACTTTGTGACTGATATAAACCGACCAAGATCATGCAACTCATTCTTCATGTATTGACCATGACGAATATTGGACAGATAGAAAAGTTTCGCACCCTAAAAAAATAAAATAAAAATGTTATAATATCAATGATAAAGACTGTGTCACATTAACACTTACCAGTACATTAACTATTGCCCTAGTATCAAAATGTGTAATAAAAATTGGGTTCAGATTCAATAAAACATCATAATCATTTCAACTTTGTGTTGGTACTTTTATGATTATTGTATGCTTGTTTAATTTTTTTAATTTAAAAGCAATCAAGCTAAATACAATAATTGTCCCATATGTACCTTACCTGATATATCTCTGTCCAAAATCTTTGTTTGAGTTTCTTTTTGAGTCTCCTTAAGTTTTTATTCTTCTTCATCATGTCAAGGTGTGTCAGTACTCCCATCACACGAGGGAACCCGTGGGTCTGTAGGATATTTAAGAACTCAAACGTCTCCATCTCAAAACCAAAACTGGCATCAACAAGCAGCAATACCTAAAAAGCATTCAGACAAAAAGTTGTAGCTGCTATTATAACGAACATCAAGAATAATGTTACTTTAACT